AACAAAATTATATGATTTACTAACCGTAGCACCAATGGCGATAAACAGCAACTCAAAGCGTCCATCTCTATCTGTTTTGATATGAGTTACCGACCCAGGATTTTTCAGCTTTAAATTGTGACAATAAGCCGGCAGTTGGGCAAACGATGCTTCTGGCGACCCCCTCAACAATTCCAAGGCATAACATTTGGCTCTCCAAGCTTGAGAATATGATATACTAATCTTGAACCGAGCATTCATGTCAGTCATAATTTCATGTCCCCGATATACCCTGCCATTCAAAAACATTAACTCAGCCAGAAAACCACCCAACACCTTTTTGTTTGCCTGTCTATGGTGAGGAAAAACTTGGGTTCTTGAACATGTATGTTTATCAATAAAAGTCCTAACTTGAAACATTTTGCAATCTTTTATTCTCTTTGCAATCATACGCCACGTACAGTTTTTGTCAATCATACACCTTGTTTCGAAACGATCTTTGCTTGATTTGTTAACTTTTAGTTGATAGCCATCTTCCACACATTTTGTATACAAAGCTATCTTCAAGTCTTCCTTTGTATCAAAACAATCATCTTTCTTGACACGAATAACTTTTGTGTAACAATCAACTGCTTTCTTTGCCAACTCTTCTTCCGGTAACTGAAGTAATTCTGGCATATTCCAGTTATACTCCCGTGGCATTTTCTTTTCTTCGGGGACTTTTTCTTCTTCTTTTTCTTCTTCAGGATTATATGAATTACAGAATGGATGTTCAACATGTTCATTCACAGTCGTAACTTCCTCCTCATTATCATCAACAATATCTTCCTCGGCAACGGGTTTTCATCATCAAAATTCGGGTATTGACCAATATTAAAATCATTACACACATGGTCTGTTTCTTCTTCTGAAACATCATCAAAATCCGTGTATTGACCAATATCAAAGTCCGGATATTGACCAAGACCAAATTTCGAATACTGACTAGTACTTACAATTTTTCTGTTGGCTCATCATCGTCTAACTGGTCAATACGAAAACCGGAATTTGGTGCTGAAAGTTGATTGGGATTTGGATTAGAGAAAGGTTGTGGGTTTTGAGAAAAACTTAGTTGATTACTACCCGCTACTGACCCAACAATACTACTTCTAGGTTCAACAACATACAATGTAACATCATCTTGTGAAACACTAATGTAAGCAATGAATCGTTCAACATCTTCATTGTCGGTTAACAAATAAACTTTACCATTTCTCTGATAAGATAGCCTAAATCCACTTAGGGGCTCTAAATTCAATTTATTTGAAACACGTAGCATTAGAGTTTCATAAGTTAACTTTTGTAAAGACAATTTTAGTTGAAGATTCATGGGTAAAGGCATATATTGTAAAACACCATGAACATTATCCCATGACCCTCCAAAACACAAATCTATCCAAACATGATCAGATGATTTCATGGTTGTAAATTAATTTACTAAACAGACGAGCTGCGAAACTAAAACCTGTTGCCGGATTGGGAAGGATGTCGTTGGATATAGGAACGGATGTCGCCGGAGAGAGTGATAGATGGAGATGGAATGAGTTGCGATTTAGGGATTTAGTTTATGATTTCAGTGTTATATACCCAAAATTTCAGTGTTGTGATTTACAGATTCTCGTTGCGATTTACGGATTATCGTTGCGATTTACAGATTCTCGTTGCGATTTACGGATTATCGTTGCGATTTACGGATACGCGTTGCGATTTACGGATTATCGTTGCGATTTACGGATACGCGTTGCGATTTACGGATACGCATTGCGATTTACGGATACGCGTTGCGATTTACGGATACACGTTGCGATTTACGGATACGCGTTGCGATTTTATGTATTATCGTTGCGATTTACGGATACGCGTTGCGATATACGGATACGCATTGCGATTTACCCATACGCGTTGCGATTTTACGGATACACGTTGCGATTTACGGATACGCGTTGCGATTTATGTGTTCGCGTTGCGATTTTCATATTCGCGTTGCGATTATTGAAAATCGCAATGCGAATTTGTACTATCGCATCGCGATTTTCAAGAATCGCGTTGCGATTTTGGAAATTGATTTGCGATTCTGGGGATCGCGTTGCGATTTTTATTTCGCGTTGCGATTTTGTTGGTCATTTTGGCAAATCCAAAAAAAGTTGGTTAAAATCGTATATTATAACTTTTTTTTGGTCACTGAGGCGATTTTCTCAATAACATTATCATACAAAGAAAACAAGCGTGCATACAACTATATTTTGTAACGGTAGATTTAGAATTTTTTTTAATGATAGGTATATATATATTAATAATTTAAATTTTTAATATGATAAAATTTTAGGATGGATATATGTCTGCCCTAAGATTAATGTACATCTGCCATTGATATTTTGTATATTTTCGGTCAATCATTTAATTTATCAAATCATCGAGAGAATGATGAATAAAAAATGTAAAATAAAATATATATATATTCACACAAAAATTTCTTTCTAAAAATATAAAATAAATTCATTATATCATTAATAAAATATAAGATAAATCGTAAAAATTACTATATACTATGATGTATAAAATTTTATTACAAACTTAAAAATCATAAATACATACATAAACCAAGTGACTTCTGTGGTAAAGGAGTTGTTGTTGTTCTTTGAAGACCCGAGTTTGAGCACCATAAAAACTAGGAGTGTAAGAGTTCATTATCAAAAAAATTAAGAGTTATCATTAAATAGATAATTTCTTGTATTTATCTCCATTTAATAAAAAAACATAGTTACATAATTGTAATTGTAATAATGTTAAACCTTAAACAATAATATGTATAATACTATAAATTATTTTTATTAAACCAAATAAAATTCAGATAATAATTTTTAATAATTATAGATTTTATTATTCAAATTATGATTATAACTCCAACCATATATTATAGTTTTTCTAATAAATATTAAATGATTGACTATTATTTTGAGAAATACTCTTAGGGTGCGTTTGGTTCACGGAATGTAAGATTAGCAGTGAGAATGTAAGATTACCAGGGAATAGGATTAATGTATATGTTTTATTTTGTGTTTGGTTGGCTTAGCAAGAATGTAAGATTACCGTGTTTGGTTAAAGAAATAAAAGATTATTGGAATGTATATTTGACCAAATTGTCCTTATTATATATTTGTATAATATTACAAGTTGGAAAATATTTATATATTTTCTTTAAAAAAAAATTAAATTCATAATATTTATATATTTTTTACAAAAATAAAAATAAAAAAAGTTTAATGAAAGGGTAAAATTTTATTTTAACCCTTGAACTTCATATAAAATTTTAATTATAGATTTTTTTTTGTAAATCTAAAATAATTTAAGGATAAATTTGTAATTTAACATTCGTAGAATTTTTATTATTCAATGACAGAATAATGATATTTTTGGAAAAAAATAAAAATTTAAGGGCATTTTAGTCCAAAACGCTGGTAATCCAACAATACATAAGGAAAGGGAGGTAATGACATTCCCGATAATATACCCCAAAAAATCTACTATTGATAATCTTACATTACTGGGAATAGGATTCCCGGGCTAACCAAACGGGGGAATGTGGATTCTATTCCCATGAGAATCCTACATTCCCCAATTCAAACACCGCATGCTGAAATTAAATGTCATCTTATATTTCACATATATAACTCACAAGTTAATTCAAGTGGTGAATACTTTAATATAATTTAAGTAAGAATTTAAGTTTAAATATTTGTGTATATATAAATTCTTATTGAAAGGCTCATTCATTAAAATCAGTTGTGCGATACGATCGATCTAATTAATCAGTGCGAAACCTTAAAATCAAGATAACAATAAAAAATATTGATAGATTATAAATAAAAAAAAGATATGATAAATTACACGTTTAGTATCTCAACTATCATTTTTATTTTGTATTGGTCACCTAATTATTTTTTTTTCAAAATCATATTTAAATTTACGTTTTAATTTCATTTTGCCATCCACGAACAAAAAATTAACAAAATTATTGATGTTATATTTTAAAAAAAGTATGATATGACATTATCTTATGGTAACAGATCAACGTCATCATTAATTTTTTAACGGTGATTAATTGAAATAAAACCAAAATGTAGTATGATTTTAAAACAAAAAAAAAATTGAACAATTAAAATAGAATGAAAATGATAGTTGAGGTACTCTACGAGTTGTTTATTAAAAAATTCATAATTATAAAACTCAAAATTGACAGGTGTAAGGTTAAAGGGATAAGAAATCTTAGACCATGCATGAGATCATATTGCATGGAGATGGGACAATCAACCCAATTGAGGCAGCATGTGTTATTCTGTCTCTTCTCTATTTTGAAGCACAACATGAATGTGTGTGGCTATGTTTTTTTTTTTCAATCAAAAAGCTCTTCCAACAACGTTTAATGGCTATGGTTCTTATGTTTACTACACGCCACGGCATGTAAAATTCAACGGCAAAGACTCTTCTTCTTGGACTTGGGAGAGTGTTGCATGTAATAACAACAATATAATGTCCAAATTTAATGTAGACCTCCGCTGTTTTTTTTAATGGCTTCAAATTGTAGTTGTGATCATTTTGGTCTTTTTCCTAACCAAATTGCAAACTTGGATAGATTCATCGTCATAGAATCAATTTATCGAGTTTCATTAACTACAACAGAGTGATTGAGTATTTATTTTCAAATACTCAAAGATATTTAAAACAAATACTACTATATAATCATCCCTCAATACATACTAACTCTGCCCATATAAATTTTTAGTCGAGTTATAAATGTCTTTTTTTAATTTTTAATTAAATGTATAGATATATTTTATTTTAAAATAAAAAATCAAAATTACAAAACTCTAATTACCCCAAACCTTTTGTACAATGAACTTTTATGACCATATTTGAGACTTTCGTTACATTGTATTCATTTAATGCAAGATATATCAGTAAATGGAAGTATTAGGGTTTTACTAATGGAATGTGACCGTTAGTGGTTCCACCAGTACTGTTGACTTCATCTTCCTAGTTACCTCCCTCCAACCTACCAGTTTACCGAAAAGCTTTTTGGTTTCCTCCAACGTTTTTCCTCTTGTCTCCGGCATACACAAGTAGAAAAACACCCATCCGACGGAGGCGATGCTGGCGAACAAGCAGAAAGCACCGCCGATGGTTATGGCTTCGTATAACGAAATAAAAGTCATCGATATGACTGAGTCGCTCGTCACCCTGTTCACCGCCACTCCCATGCTCACGCCCTGCGCGCGCAGCCTCAGCGGGAAGATATCCGACATGTAAACTCCGGTGATGGGACCCATTCCGATGGAGAAGAATGCCACGTAAGCTAAAACCATGGTTATGCGCAAAGCGATTGCCCATGTGAGTTTTGAATCTGAATGGTTGATGATCGTTAGGGAAAACCCGAGCGTCGTAAGCGACGCCACCATGCCTCCGATGCTGAACAGGAGCAAAGATCGACGTCCGACTTTGTCGAGCAAAAACGTGGCTACCAAGATGAAGACTGTCTTGCAAAATCCGACGGCTACCGTCATGAGTAGCTTCTCGTTCGACGATGTGATCCCCGCTTTTTCGAAAATCCTTGGACTGTACAAAACGACGGCGTCGACTCCGGAGGCTTGTTGGAAGAAATGAATCCCGACTGCGCAAATCAAGACATGCTTAACGGCGGGCGTGGGATGTAAAAATAATTCTCTCCACACCCCTTTTCCATGAGCTTTCTTCGGGACGACGTCGTCGTCGCCGACGTAATCTTGGGTGATTCCGGCAGCTTCTTTGATGTCGTTTAGTCGAAGCTGAGCTTCCTCTTTCGTGTCCAGAGTTTTCTCAAGCATAATCTTGGCTTCACTGAGTCGACCTTGCACGACCAACCAACGCGGCGACTCCGGCATCGCCAAGACTGCAAAAACTAAGAAAACGGAAGGGATGGCTCCGATGCCGAGCATCAACCGCCATCCTATGCTTAACGGCAGCTTCGAAAATGCATAGTTCGGAACATATCCGAATAGTATCCCAACATTGATACACACCTACATACATGTATACGTAAAAAGATGTTAGACGTACAAGAAAATCTCAATTACCATCTTTATGGTATATAAGTCGAATACGATATGATTTATTGATTAAATTACCTCAGGGAACGAGGTGAGAAAACCACGAGATGAAGCAGGGGAGATTTCAGCATTATAAAGAATAGCACTCATAATGGCAAAGCCGACGCCGATACCGGCGATGAAACATCCGACCATAAGGAAAGTGTAGTTGACGGAGAAGCCCATGAAGAGAGATCCGACAAAGATAATGGCATTAGCCAACACCTTGGTATTTCGGCGACTAATCCAGTCTGCAACTTTTCCGGCAACGATCGAGCCAACTAGGCAGTTCAAGTTGAGTACACCGACGATGATTTCGATCTGAACGTCGCTGATTCTCAAATCTTCTCTAATGAACATTATAGCTCCACTCATCCCTCCTACGTTTATTTTCATGCAAAGAAACATATACATATTTAGACTAAAATCGTCGCCAAAACGTTCCCAAGCTCATGAATGAAACTCTTTTCTTACCATAACCGAGTAACATGGAAGTTAAGGAAGCAAGCATAGCACAAGCCAAGGCGAACTTATTCTTCTTCGGTTTCGTGGAGACCTCGAGAGCTACCGGAGTTTCCGGTGATTGGCTCGGAACGGAGCCATTTTAAGGTCTGAAACCAGCCGTACTTGCAGTTCTATGGAATCTCTCTAAGGTTTAAGATTCTTCATAGTTTGGCTTAAATAAGAAAGGTTTACATCAATTGTGGGACAATTTGACATCAGCCGATGAGTCATGCGTGAGCTATTACAACTATCGTTGTCCTGTGGTCCAAGGATAACATTTTTTACGCCTCTCGATATGATTGAACATCTATTACACGCATTTTACTTGGGATCTTTTAGATAATAAAATGCAATAATCTTTTAACATTACAAATAAAAATTTCAATAATGAATTTGTATACATGAATACATATTGTTAGCATATCGATTTCACTCGTCCACTTTATATTTCTACAGAATTTCGGCCCAACAAATAGAGAAAAGCCCAAGAGCAGATATTCCCGAACAGTTTATTACCATATTAATTAGAGAAAATAATCTCAGTGACCAAAAATCTCATATAATATACGATTTTAACCAACTTTTTCCGGATTTGCCAAAATGACCAACAAAATCGCAATGCGATCGCTAATTCGTAACGCGATCTCCATTATCACAAATCAGTTTCCAGATTCGCAACGCGATTATGACTATCGCAATGCGATTTTCCAATTTCGCGTTGCGATTTTCCCAATTCGCAATGCGAATAAGTAAATCGCAATGCGAATTTGGAAAATCGCAATGCGAATTTGGAAAATCGCAATGCGATACTGACTATCGCAATGCGAATTTGGAAAATCGCAACTCGGTACTGACTATCGCAACGCGATAATACAAAATCGCAACGCGATACTGACTTTCGCAACTCGATACTTAATTTCGCAACTCAATACTGCCTTTCGCAACGAGATAATACATAATCGCAATGCGATTTTCAAAGCGCCATTAGTATCGCAAAGCGTATTTTATTTTCAAATTCCAAACACGAATATTAATATATTGGAACACTGAACCGTCCACAGTATATCCCGTAATCGCAACTCATAACCTAAAACCTAAAATCACAACTCAGTCCCATCTCCATCTCTCACTCTCTCAGCCATCTTCGACGAAATCCGTCCCCATCTCCGGCGAAATCCGTCTATCTCCATCTCTCAAAGCCACCCTCACAATCAGAAATGGAAAATCAACCAAATCAACCACCGATGGTTAGTTTTTTTAATTATTTTCTTTTTTGAAATTTTTGCATTATTATTAGGTTTTTCATATTGAAATTGATGATAAGTTTACTGGTAATTTCAATAATAGATTAACCATTTCACTTAGATTGCTTATTAAATCAACCGAGAATCGCAACGCGAAATGAAAATCGCAACGACAAAATCGCAACGCAATTTTATTCTCTCGTTGCGATAGTCAAATTCGCGTTGCGATTTTCATTTTCGTGTTGCGATTTTCATTTTCAGAAACTATTATTCTTCTGTAAATTGAAACTTGAATGAATTGCATTACTTCAACAAAAAAACAAAGACAAATAAGAAATTCACAGTGTTACAAATTTAAGTTTGAAGAATAAACTACTACTCTTTTATGTTTATTATTGTTTTTGGTATATCTTCACAGTGTAGTTTTTTGTATATCTAACTTAGTATGTTTATTGTTTTTGTAGAACTTTTATTCGGCTCAATTGACCTTAAGAAATAAAGTCAGCCTGGCCAAAACAATTGCGTCGAAGCTTTCACCTGCACAAAGAAAAATGTTTGAGGATACTTGCTTCGGGCCATGACTGAAAGTACAACATCCCGGTGGAGATGCGATGTTGACACACCTGTTTCTTCAAACCATGACTAGGGATCTACCAGATACTATACAACGTCGTGATGAAGAGATATGGTTTGATTTTCCACCGGCGTATACGTGTTTTGGGCGAGAGGAGTTTTGCTTAATCACCGGTCTACGCTTCGGACACGATGATGTAGGTCGGTACACTAGACACATTACCCGCCCATCATGGTTATCCCGGGTTTTTCCTGAGCTGGAGAGGCCGAATCTACACGTGGAAGACCTGACGATATTATTGAATAAGAAAGATGGTTTTACTCGGATGGATGACGTCGATGTTGTCCGAGTATTCCTTCTAATACTTTTGCATGCCGGCTTTTTAGGCAGAGAGGCCAGACAACCTATTCCGAATGATCTAATCAAATTGGTAGAAGACCTAAATGCGTGGAACCTGTTTCCATGGGGATCGTATTTATGGAAAGCTACATGGAATAAGTTATCGTCTGCCTTGGATGATCGAAAAAGTTTGCATGGCGATGGTTCCAAATACACTTTGACATGCTTTATTTGGGCCTTTAAGGTAAGAATTTTTATATAATGTTTTCAAAATTATAAGTAATTATTTAACAATTACTAATGTTTGTTATTATATTGTTTGTAGATTTGGATATTTGAGGCCTTTCCCGCCATGAAGACATATGCAATAAAAACTTCAAATGATATTCCCAGGGCTATTTCCTGGAAGAGGAAACGGACCTTGCAATGGGAAGATTTACTACGGTATACGACAATAAATAATGTAAGTTAACATAAATACTACCATATGTTTATAAACAAGTTATTACTAGTACACATTTAACTTTGTTTGAGCTTTTATATTGTTAGGAGGCCAACACTCCATTACAGAGGCTGACACCCACGGAAGCTGAGCTTGCCACTGATTGGTGGCAAGCTAGTAAGCGTTTTTTTGATGGCACGGATGATGAGCAGCCTCCACTTCGGGAGCCATCACCTCACCCAGAGCTATCACCTCACCCAGAGCCATCACCTGATCGACCCGACTATACACCTCCACAACGACAGCCATCACCTATTCTATCACATCATCGAGCCTCTTCTCCACTATCACCGCAAGATAGGCGACCGGCAAAGATGCCACGACGTTTATCTCCCTGTTCTCCACCTCCACCTCCACGAGATGAGTTAGGAGAGTTACGTGATGAGGTCAATGCCTTGCGTGAGGAGGTCGGTACTTTACGCAAAGACGATGATGCATGGCGTGTTGAGGTGTCTACTTTACGCGGTGTGGTAGCCGCTCTACGTGAGATGGTAGCATCGTTGCAGAATGAGGTTCATACTCTATGCAACGAGGTAAGTTTAAGATTTTTCATATTTAACTTGATGATAAATTTACTCGTAATTTCACTTAGATTAACCATTTCACTTAGATTGCTTAATAAATTCATTCGGTTGCTGCCAATACTGCTATATTGTTTTTGTTAGTATTTGTTTTTGATTTTGATTTTGTTTTTGTCTTTTGGTTGAAGTAATGCAATCCATTCAAGTTTCAATTTGCAGAAGAAGAATAGTTTACTTTCGCAACACGAAAATGACTATCGCAACGCGGAAATGGCTATCGCAATGCGAAATGAAAATCGCAACGACAAAATCGCAACGCGAAATGAAAATCGTAATGCGATTTGTGTTTCGCGTTGCGATTTTGTCGTTGCGATTTTCATTTCGCATTGCGATAGCCATTTCCGCTTTGCGATAGTCATTTCCGCGTTGCGATAGTCATTTTCGCGTTGCGAAAGTAAGTTTCGTGTTGCGAAAGTAAACTATTCTTCTTCTTGAATGTTTATATATGTTGTCCTTTTAAATGTTTATATAAGTGCTTACTTCTGGAATGTTATCTGATGCATTTTGTGAACTATGATAGAATAATGACTTGGGTGAATACAATGCAAGTTTGAAACATATTTGTCTTTGTTTAATATCATGTCTGTTTATTTACTGATTTATGTATTAATTTTTTTTAGCGGCCCGATAAGGTGGATGCTTTACGTCAGGTTTTCCTTGCACGACGGAGTTCACGCATCAGACGGCGTGCACGTGCTATTACGTCTCCGTTCACCCCAATGGTGCGAAGACTCCGCAAGAAGAAGCCCGACTCACCTGTCATTCCTCAAGAGTCCCCTCAAATCGTTCAAGAGGCCCCTATCATCCCTCAAGAGTCCCCCCACCGTTCAATAGGCCACTGTCATCGTTGAAGAGGTCCCTCCCACCATTCCAGAGCCCGATTCACATGGGGTAATATATCGAATTATTGAGAAACCCCCACCGTTGCCGAACATTATGGATGAGAGTTAGCTCTCGTATGAGTTACCAGCTAGTACCCTTCCGGTATCTGAAGTGGAGAGGAGACAACTACCGGAAACAATTCTGGATAATACCCTTTGGGCTAAGACCGCAGTTGATTTTTATCTACATGAGCGGAGCCAAGGGTGTTACACTGACATAAGCAAACTCAACGATGAGATGTATTTGTTGCTTAATCGGTCTTGGTGGGGTGTGTTATTAGGGGTTGAAGACAGTGGCTATTTCGATGGGGAGGTAAGTCTTATATTTGACTTATATATGATTTTGATTAATTTTTTTAAAAATTAATGTAATTCACTAATATATGTCTTTTTTTTGTAAAACAGCATATCGATGCGTGGGTGTCACGTCTTCTAATAATAAGGAAGCTTAGGAAAAATAAAAAAAATTCGTGATATACAATAATGCCGGCGACTTTTCACGCAGTTCACTTGAAGAATCAACGGGATGAATCATTTTTGTTGGGCAACGGACAAGCTAAACTTTATCATGCATGGTGGGATGTCGATAATGTTAGTGTTTATTTTTTAAATTTTTTAAAGGTGTTCATAAATAAGTGCGCAAATAAATGAATTATTACTTATGATTGCAGGTGTTTATCCCTGTTTTGGAACGTCGTCATTGACTTCTCGTCCAACTTCAGCTCCCATCCCTGAAGATAATAGTATATGACAGCATGATAAATTTCATATCACTGTCTGATTTGAGAGATATTATCAAGGGATGGAGCTCTCATTTGGCTAAATTCTTGGATGAGATTAATTATTGGACTCATTCTGGACACAAGAAGCCAAAGAAGTTCAATGTCACAGTTGTCAGAGACGAGACCGTGCCACAACAATCGCCGGGAGCCAGAGGGGATTGTGGTCCTCTCGTATACATGTGCTTGGCGCGTTTGAC